TCCTCTGTTAGAAGTGCATTTCCATCTCCTTATTAAGTAAAAAGTGCACAAAAATAAGGGTATAAAATTGTTAGCACAGTTAGTTTGTCCTTTTTCGAACCACCTTTATCTCGTGCAAAATGGCAGCACACTAAATTTAATACTTGAGTGGTCAGTGATACTCATTGGAAAAGTGCTTATTTCCTAGGCGATTTTATACTTTTTGCCTGGAAAAAATTTATTTTTTGACTATGTATGAACCTGTTATCAAAAGAATTCATAAATAGCAACTACAAGAGCTCTGCTAGTATGAACGGCCTTTCTCATTTAAAATTTCTGCCCTATTTGCCTAGGGCAATAAAAAATTGGCTCTACGAATTCGGTCGGTTTTTAATCCCGTTAAACTTAGTGCCGCTCTATATGGAGTCCAATGGGATTCAATGAATGAGGAGGAGGACAGTTTTGGGTAATCAGTAAAACATAAACAGGCAACTTTCTCGGTACCTGTTCATTTTTGGTGGGATAAAACAAATTATCTCCACAATTTTGCCTGTATTTGCTCCAGTCAAATTCAATAGTGATTATTAAGAGTTCAATGGGAGTACATTGGACTAGTGGAGAGACAGGCTTTAGCATCTAGTAGTACCGAACTCGAGTTAGACAATTTGAATACTTTGAAGATTTGGGTAACTGTAAGCTTTAATTACACGGGCACTGAAGGGCACGACAATTGTACTTCGGCTTGGTAGCATGGTCTGCAGACTATGCCGGTAGCCCCTTAGCCTGTTTGTACGTCGGCAGTACATGTCCTTCCCGATAATTATATCCCCGTTCGTCTTCATGGGAGTCTTAAAGAACTGCACTGGCCACAGAGTAAGGCCAACATATTCGGAAACCATAATAACCATGACGGAAGAAAGGCATAAGCTGCAAGTTGGGTAATCCGTGGTGAGCCCGACTAGAAGGGTTAAAAATGACGTCATTCATTGGCAACTACCCACTCCCCTGTTCTGCAGGAATGTCATTCACAACCTTAGCGACACTAGCCGTGAACCATCTGAAAAAGTTTGTTGTAGAGCTGTCTACAGTGTTGGTATGAAGATTTTAATCAAGTGAACTTGTCATACCTTCACCACCTCTGTGCTAGCCGGATAACGCTCAGACAGACAAATGGCTGGGCAGTACTGAAGTGAGAATAAAGTAAAAAGGAGGAATAGACGGGAAATCGTAAATCCACTAAACGATTTTCAACCCCGTCCTTGGTTAAATGACCGCTTTTGGACCAGTGCAATTACGACTTACGCTGGACATGCTTGATGGCTAGCACATTCCCCCTTCCCTCCATACACTTCCCAAATAGGAAGAAACCCCAGATCCAGTGAAATTACCAGGAGGGATCAGTGATGTGGCGGCAGTGAGATATGTTTCAAGTTACATGAATATTTAATGACTGAAGGGGTTGGTCTATGGCTGTTCTGCCCTACAGCACTGAATACATTGTGATGGCCGACGCGGGATGTTGACAATGGCGAGCGCCATGGACGACGCTCAAAAGAGAAGAGGAACTATGCAATGTTTTTATCATTTGTTTAACCCCTAGTTTTAGTAACAGGACCCTGTAGGCTTTGTTACTTTCCTCACACTGGACGGTATGGCCTTCGGGCCATGTCAGAAGCCCAAGCCCTTCTGCATGTTGGCAACACATTTTCTGCCTAAGTGTAAGGTCTTCTTTCGTGTTCAAGAAAGTCGTGGGGTGGTGTGCGATATCTTACTTTTAGTAGAGAAAATGAAAAAAATTATTTGAGTTATAAGCAAAAATAAGCTTTTATTCCGTAATGTTCATTTTCAGGTTCAACTTCACTTACTGTACAGCCACTATTCCTTGTGCTTGTCAAAATTTCCTGCTTTTCCTATACCACATAGCAATACAATGAAGTATTGATGGATTATAATATTAAAAAATCTGGTTTCCTCCTGAAAATTAAACAATAGTACAGATGAACTTCCATTTATTTTTAATGTGCTTGCATACTGATGAAGCTTCCTACAAGGCAGTTACAGGCTGCCATAAAAGCCGCGCTTCTCTTTAAAATGACTGGAAATTGTAGTGCAACCGGTTTTATGTCTGCATTAAAAGCAGTTTTATCCTTAAAAATATGTGCGAGAACTATAAAGTTGCTCAACTTGCCATTTTTGAAAGATGAAAAGCAGATTTAAACTTCGCCAATCGGCAGTTCCCAAGTAACTGACTGACAATTTACCTCACCTAGATGGGTGGTGCCAAGAGGGCAAACTTTCTCGGTTATTCACATACTCACTAAATTCAAACTGTTCTCTGCCAAAACACCCACCCAATTTCTAATTTTAC